ACAGCTCACCTTCAACAGGTAAACTTTATTTACCTGCCGTGCTGTGCGATGGAAAAACACATACGACAAAAATAACAGGGAACTTTAGACGTGGATCAGCCTGCTGCTTTTGAACATCATCACTCAAGACAAGCCATCATCAGCTAAAGACACACCTTCAAGAAGGTAGCCCTGTTGTAATGGCAATGCAAATCCCTGCTGTGCTGGGCTGACGGGCCAAACCAAGCCAAGCCATCCCATGAGTGTGGAAAAGGGGCACAAGAGAGGATCCGACACTGTCTGGACTCTGTGATACCCTCTTGTGGACAATCAGATGATATTCCATCAATGTGAGACACTGAGAGCTTTAAAGACAAACAAGACAACTACAGTGCACAACCCTAATACACCCACTGACATATAGAATTTATAAAAAAAAAGCAAAGCAAAGACACAACATATGCATACATAAGATGCCAGAGTTGCAAATAGCTGTCCATGCATGCCCAGACATGCTGTATTTACAGTGAAACAAACAGGCAGACACTCAGTGGTGTATTGGAGGGTGTATGCAGGTATACGGGGTATTCCCCTCGCCTCCTCTTCTGGCTGTTTACAGTAAACGCCTCTCAGCCAAAAAGCCATTGGAATATAGGACAGTATACCTACTTCCTTCTTGGTAACCTGAACTACCACTACCTTACTACTGATACCATGTGCACATTGCCAATGAACATAAGTATGATTTAAAAGGTAGCTCAAATAAACTGTACACCAAGCCACACTCAACAAGGATGGACTGACGTGACATTTTGTATAGAAAAAACTCTCAGAGAACTCCTAACTTAGCCTAAAAAGATTAGTAAGGAGTCCTAGTTTAGGAATGATTTAGGAAAGTTCTCAGAGCAACTTTGAGCACGGAAGGGACAGTAAAGCCCTGTTTCCACCGAGCAGTAGCGTATAGTTCAGTTAATTTTGGTACTTTTCTTTTCGTCTCCACTGTGAAAAGTTGTGGATGGTACCAATGGAACCGTACTGTACCGTCCCCATTTTTGGTCCCCCCTCTGTTGGGGTACCTAGCACACAGATCTGGTACTAAAAGGTGGAGCTGTGAACACTACAGTCTGATTGGTCAATAGAGGGCTGAGTTGTGACTGGTTTTGAGGCTCATGTAACCACTGTTCATACCATGCAGAGTTTTATTCGTAACCTGTAACTATAAAATGAAAGGATGTTTTGCTGCCTCTCACAGCAGCTGGAGTCTGAGAAAAAATATCTTAAACTTTTACCTTATTGAGGAGGTGTGGTTGACCCTTTTGCTAGGTATATGTTCTTTTTACAGATGTGATTGGTTGTCACAGACAAGGCTTGTCGTGAGCCTGCAAGGTGTGGACACCCAGTGGAAATGTAATTAACTGCATCACAATATGAAACTGTGAAAGTGTGTTTGGAAGGTCAAGACTGATCTAAGTCATCACTGTTGCACTGTTGCATTTTTCCATAGATCTTAGTGTTATGTTCATTTTATTTCTGGCGTCATAGCATTTTTGTGTTGGGTGGGAAATGTGTGTGTATCACTAATGAGATCGACCACAAACATTATTCCTGCAGGATCTAATCTGTAGCATTTCATTAACTCACAGTCATTCAGTGTTTGGACAATATGTCACCTACCTTTTTTGTGTTTCCACTATTTTCTCATGTGCTTAAGAAACTCTTAAAAGTCCTCCTCTCTACTCTTTACAGTTTTCACCCAGGAGATCTCTTAAAGGCTAAGATGCTTTGTGAATCATGTATGTGAACCATACACTTTAACTTTAAGAGGAACTTCTAAGAAACATTATAATTCTTAGAATTTTCTTAGAAGTTCACCACTGGGAGCACCTCTTTGTACTATGAAGCTTTGTGAATACAGCTCCAGTATTCTAGTAGCCTAATGCCATTGTGGTTGTGTTAGCATGCTAACAGTAACATGTAGCTCAAAGTCAGCCTTATGTGCCTGAGCAGACTATAGCCTCACAGAGCTGCGATCATGGCTGTAGACTTTACTCTTGTTATACACTGAACCACTGAAGAACAGGCCCACATGATGTGTGTGGTGTACAAATGGCTTAACCACATGACTCTGCATTTTAGCTGCGTTATCATTGTGGTCCGACAGCTTACAGGAGGATTGAACTGAACCCTTCTGCCACATATGAGTCAAAGTGCCCAACCACAACCCTTATACTTGTTCCTAACTGCTTCATAAACTACTCAAATGAAAACGTTGTTTCAAATTCAGTTCCTGAGCATGTGAAGTTTTTACAGTATGCTGATATTATCAGTCCATTAAGGTCTGCTCAGGGATGTGGGTCACTCAGGTGTTTGCTTTTTGATACGGTTGTGGTACAATGAGCGTATAGAGTACAGTGGAACCAACTGAGGCCAAGAATTTGATCCACTGCACTCACGTTATCAGCATTAATGTGAGAGAAAATATACAGTGTGACTCAGAGGTACCCACTGATATTACAGAGCATGTCATCAAGAATGTCATATTTATTCATATAAACATGTCTAAATTTGATGAAAATGAAATGTTGGTGGTCACACCATAAAAATGTGCACTTTGGATAATGAATTCGTCCATAGTACTCAAAAACAACTTGTGACTTTCACCACATGACCATAACTTTGACCAACAAGTTCACTTTGTCCAGACCTTAACTTCCCATACATCGTGTTGCTTACTTTGTCCATATGATTTCCGTCTTTGAAGTGAAGCACACTGTCAATGTAAAGCTGTAAAATGGTTTCTGTTTTTTTTTTTTTTTTTTTACCAGAGGCTGGGTGTCATTGCTTTTGGTGAACATATTGCTCAAGGAGAGTTATTCAGCAGTCTGAGGATGTTGCTCAGTTTGTAAAAGAGGAAATATTTGAGAAATTATGTTTCTTACCAGCCTCTGACACAGTGTTTCACTTCCTGTGAATGTCACTGAATCTGCATCACCATTAATAGGGTCTCTGTTCTGGGACACATGGGAGTGGAAAAACGTGGGAATAATGCAATTAACATATTTCACAATGGGATCTTTTAAAATCTGGCAACCAGAATGTGTCTTATCAAAGGCTAATAACTGATCTGTGAGGCATTAATACATTTCCATTGAACATTAGCATTATTATTAACATTATTTAGCAGTTAATGGAGTTTTGTTGTTGTTGTTGTTGTTGTTGTTGTTTTTACATTCTATAAACCTATTTTTACTTAAATAAAAGATCAGAATAAAAGATAAAACGTACTGTACTTAAGTAAAATTTTGAGTCACTTGCCCACATTAATGCATAAATAATTATAACACAATAATACACATTATTATGAAATAGGCCATTCTGCACAATAAATACTTTTACTTTCGATACACTGCTGGGTAGTTTAATCGACTGGTTTCATGCCTGGACCAGAGATCACCAAATCTTCCCTAGGGTCCATGAGGCCTTCTTGATTTGAGTGTAAAAAGTGTCAAAATAAGTTTTGTTATTTTAGTGTCTGTTTGGTTTTTTGTTTGTTTGTTTGTTTTTAATTAGGCCTATATCTCAATGTATTCGTTTTGTGGGGGAAAAAAAGAAACCAAGTGAAATTGTTGATTTTAAAGTGTGGATTATTATTCATGATATAGATTTGAAATAACCACAGAGCTAAAAGAACAATGGCCAAGTGTCAGGGAGAAGAAAATACAGACTTTGTTGAAAATGAAGCCTATTAAGCAGGTACCACTGGTAATGAATAAATCAATAAATTACTTAATACAGACAGACAGACACAGAATTGTATAGAAAGTTCCTAAAAATAACAGGGACTCTTATCTGATGTGGAAATATCTGCTCAAAACTCAATCAAATCGCTTGTTTCACACAAACTTCCTGCAGTTATTGTGTTCACTAAATGGGTTTGTTATACAGATTATCTGCTGTTATTGTTATGCATTGATATAATATGAAATATCAATACAATATGTAACTTAGTCAGGGGTCGTCAGTTTACTCAATGATAGAAAAGGGGATGAATCTGTAATAATCTATACAGCAACTGACAATAATACATCATAATTTATTTGTTGTTTAAATTGTGCTTTTTAATAATCTCGATCTGCAAAGAAACTGGTGACTTAAGCTTTTAAACAGATGTAGTGTAGTAACAACTGCCTCAAAACTGTATTTAAGAGCAGCACATAATGTACATATTGCTACTCTAGTTAGGAAGCTTAAAGTGAAGATTGGCTTTTAATTAGAAATAAATCTTGTTTTAATTTCACTGCTAAGATTGCATATTGTATATACCTGCAACCTCCATTTTAGGTAGCCTTGATTCAGTGTACCATGCATCTCTACCTCATATTATAAATGCAAAGTCACTTACTCATCATTCTTTATGATTTGGTGGGTTGGCCATCACTGACCACTGGCAGACAACATCACTGCTATTTTTTTTTATCCATAAAGCAATATTGGGCAAACTTCCTGTCTACCTCTGCACCCTTTTATATGTCAGCTCTGGTGGTTACCACCTACGCTCCTCTAAGTGGTTGCTTTTTAATGTGGGTTTTAACAGATCTGCGGAAACCTGCATCCTCCTACTCTGCACCTTAGACATGGAACAATGCTCAAAAAGATCTTAAGGCCACCATAAGGAATGTGGTAACAGAGACATGTGCTTGTTTTTCTTTAAGGCCGCTATGTTTGATGACTCGTTGTTTTATTGTGGATTTTTGTATCATATGTTGTATTATTGCATTTTAATGTGTTTTGATTGGCTGCTACCTTGGCCAGGTATCTCTTGTAAAAGAGATTTCGATCTCAACGGGACTTCTTGGTTAAATAAGAATAAAAAAATAAACTGTTGCTACTTTTACTTCAGTTAAAGCTCTGAATACTGCGAGTAACTTCTTTTGACTACTACCTTCATTAACAGCCAGGTAAGAGTTCTGTGTTTAACGAGGAGACCCTGAAGGCAGCATCATAAAGTTGCGGTGGATAAAAGGCGAAGTCGTGAAGTGAAGGAGGAGGAGGTGGGAAGCGAAGGAGTCTAGGTAGGAGGGACTATAACAGCACAAGTTAGTCCACAATTTCAACACACAGTCGTCTTCGTCTCTCATCGCAGGACCTTAAAGACTTCTCTTCAAAGGTAAACCTGAAAATACCGCCGAAATACCGAACTTTTATCCGTTAATGCTAACCGTGTCTTAAGCTAACAGCTTTGGAACGGAGTGTTTAAATTAGCCGTTTAACGGTCGTCACAAAGAAAGTTGTCAAAAAGAGGATTTTTTTCCAGTTGCACATGTGTGGAAGAAAGGACTAACTAAGTTGTAAAACTCTAACAAATTCAATAAGTTTAAGTCGCACTTGTTGATGTAATTAGGAGGTCCGGGACAATGCAGATGTTGTTGCTAACTATTAGCGGTGATTAACGGTCCGGGGCAGGGCCGGACGGGACCCTGCTTCCTCCTCAAAACAGGACTGTTGGTCCCCTCAGGGTACTAACGATGTGTTTTAAAGACTTTAACTGATTTTTATAGTATTTAAAGTATAACCCTGCCCTTCTGTTAGGGTCTGTTTAATGGTTAAAGAAAGTAGCTGGTGGCTCTCCACTTTTATTTGTCTTTTTAATTATGCTATGGTTGTGTGCCATTCGCCACTGCGAACCAGCCGTGGTTCGCTTTTGCTTGGTCAAATCAGCCGCACGTTTTTTTCTAGTGCGCGAATCTACTAACACTTACGGTAATCGTAATGAAACGGCTCCGAAGAGCTGCTGGTAGTGTCTGTGGGTCAGACTGCAGAGGACAAGTTGAAGGATATTTTGCCCAACTTTGACGTAGAATAACACACTTATTTTCCATAAGTAGTCCATGATTCATACACCGCTGAACTAAGTACTTCCTAGACTACGTGCATGAATAATATGAAGTACATTTACTGTGTACTTCTTGAGTAATCCTGTGTCAAAATCCTTAACAGAGGATAAGATTAAGGATATTTCGCCCAACTTTGATGTGGAATAAAAAAAATATTTTCCATGAGTAGTCTATGATTCATATACCACTGAACTAAGTACTTCCTAGACTACGTGCATGAATAATATGAAGTACTTTTACTGTGTACTTTTTGAGTAATCCTGTGTCAAAATCCTTAGCAGAGGACAAGATCAAGGATATTTTGCCGAACTTTGATGTAGAATAAAACACTTATTTTCCATAAGTAGTCTGTGATTCATATACCGCTGAACTAAGTACTTCCTAGACTATGTGCATGCATAATATGAAGTATTTTTACTGTGTAGTTTTCGAGTAATCCTTTGTCAAAATCCTTAACAGAGGATAAGATTAAGGATATTTCACCCAACTTTGATGTGGAATAAAAAACTTATTTTCCATAAGTAGTCCAAGATTCATATACTGCTGAATTTTGCACTTCTTAGACTACTTGCTTGCATAATATGAAGTACTTTACTGTGTAGTTTTTGAGTAATCCTTTGTCAAAATCCTTAACAGATGACAAGATTAAGGATATTTCACCCAACTTTGATGTGGAATAAAAAACTTATTTTCCATAAGTAGTCCAAGATTCATATAC